GTCACGATAATCATGTGATTTCTCTGACCAAGTGTTCCACAAACACGAATCCAAAAAGATCGCTAAATACTGATCGCGTTTAAAAATTCCTCCAGCGTAGTTTGGACGTGAAGCTTTGATGCATTTTCATAGTGAAACCTCCGTTTGAAGTTCCTCCGGCGTAGTGCGCATGGGACCTTGGAACACATGCTCCGATAAAGCAGCTTGCATGCCGCCTCATAAAGCACGGACCTCTGGTTTTCCAGCCAGCACGAACGANCAAGTGTTGCTCAAACACAAATCCAAAAAGACCGCTAAATACTGATCGCGTTTAAAAATTCCTCCGGCGTAGTTTGGACGTGAAACATTTGATACGTTTTCAGAGTGAAAACGCCGTTTCAAATTCGTCCCGCGTAGTGTGCTTGGGGCCTTGGAACACACCGATGCTCCGATAAAGAAGCTTGCATGACGCCTCACAAAGCACGGACCTCTGGTTTTCAAGCCAGCACGAACGATGGCTAAATATAAATCAATTTGAAAAGAAAAATCAGATAAACAATAGCGCGACCAACAAAAAGATTTCGCGAAAGATGCGTTGTAAATTAGGTACCTGTGTCAATATACAGACGCACATCGATAACGACAAATCTTTCAAGCATTTTAATTAGTTCTTTAAAACTCTAAAAGATATTGTCACGTACTAAAAGACTATCTAGAGTAACAACAATTCTTTCGCATAATTGCACGTAGAAGACATCCAAGAATGTTGATACAAAATGAACCAAAACGAAAACAAAGTTACGTGTTCGAACTTCATGCTATATGTCAGATCCCTACCAGAGAGGTGTGTCGCATCAGCTCCAATGGAGAACCATATTACACCGAAAAAAAAACCTATAAATCCGGACTGAAATAATTCACTTAGCTATACTGCAAACGGCAGGAAGTCTTACTGTATTAAGGCCTAGATGTGACTTTTGGCAGCGAACATTGCCGGACTGAGAAATTCACAGTAGCAGACAGATGACCACGCCCAGGGGTGACCACGCATCTCAGTCGTGCTTGGGTGTGGCGCAGATACAGTCAATTCAGACCCCTTTCAATGGAGTTTAGACTAAATATCACAACCCCATATTTTAACTGTCATCCAACTGACGAAGACATTTTTCACTGTCAAAGGTGACCAAAAATGGCTTGTTAAGAGTTAACCACCAAATGAATGCTAGACGAAAGAAAATGAAACGCCATGTCAATGGCTAAGTGAATTACGTTTTTGTGCTCTTAGCTTATAAGGAAAAATGACTTCCTTCTTTTTATTGTCATTCTATTGTCGAGTATTCCGATTATTCTATCGGAGACTCTAATTAGTGTTTTCGTGTTGCTGTTTTTTGTTTTGTTTTTTTTCACCTCATTGAAGATAAGACTTCGATCACCACTATAGCCTGCTACTG